TATTTATTTATTTGTTTAAAATTAAAGACATCCAGTATTACAAAAAATCAAAAAATCATCAGACAACATTAATTGTATAAGTTGATATTTTATTTTAATTTGTGATTTTGTTAATTTTTGTATCAGGAATAATCAACATGAACAAAGAGAAGTTAATGTGAACTTTTACATTGTGTACAAAAAGAGAAAACAAAAACAAACAAAACAAAAACAAGCAGAGACATCGTTGTAATTGTACTTCTATGTGATTTACGAGCATTTAGCTCTTACTTTCGCAACTTTTTTTTTAGAAACGGGATTTTTATAACAAAGCATTACTCTTTTTACAATATTGTTTTTGAGGACACCAAAGCGGGTCGTTTCAGACGTTTAGTTAATGGTAGTTACTGAAAATATGTATATATTTGTGATAAATATTTTAGTTTAAAATGCCTTACCAATAAGTCGTGCCCGCTAGTGACAAACTTGAATCACTCCTCAATCGCGCCCTCTAACGACAAAGCGTGCACATCACGAAATGATCTTAGTTATTGTTACAAATGCAATCAATAGGGCTTCACTACGAGCAACTACAAAGTCATTTCGTCACTAGAGAGCGCACTTTAATATTGGAATGGTGTATTGTTTGTTTAATACATGCTATTAATTTCACCACACTGAACTATTGTATGATGACGTCATTTACATCATTACTCGGTGTCTATTGCGCAATAAAACACGTGCTGCTAGCTTTTTCCCCCAATATTTTGACATTTATTTGAATGCATTATATTATGTATTTATCAATTAATAAAGTTTACATATTTATGCATTTTGGATTTAATTGCAGTATTACCAGTCAGAAATCTATGGCTAAAAAAATATAACTGTGATCGTGTTAAACATTATAATTACTAACGTGATAAACTATATCATTAAATATGAATAAAAACATTTTTATACTGCTCTTTTGTAATGCACGTCTATGAATACACATTGAATCAGGATTTACTGTGAATTAAAATATTGTTCTTGTATCACACAGATGTGTTTTCGTTCGATGAATCAATTAAATTGTCTAATACGCATGC